AGTGCAAAATTCAAGAAAAGGTGGATCTATAGATCCACTCCACCATATGACTTCTTTGCGTAATGCTTAATTAGTTAAGTACGGGAACAACTTTACCTTACCTTAATTGTTCTATGCATTTCCTTTTCTACATATTTTCATCTTCTGAGTTTCTTTTGTCGTGTCATATTTAACGATTTTTTACGACATTAGATGCGTATCTTCATTGAATAAAAACGTAGGTCAAAGAACATGACAACTGAGACAGAACTCACTTGGAAAATACTTAAATGAGACCCTACTCTTGTTTTTGTCCCGTATCCCGTTAGGAATACAGAAATTGAGGGGCCTGAGAGCATGATTTGGGAGAATCGATCAAAGCGTGAACACTGCAACCGATAACTCTGAGAAATTGTAAATTACACCAGTGAAAACCACATGCTTATATATCAAAGAAATCTATCGCATAACGTCTTATATGGAAAGTCTTCGTCACGGTTGCACCAAGCTCATTTTCTCTCGAGATCTGATCCTATTAACTTTTTGTCGAGTCCACACGGGCAACTCTCTATTAAATATCTAAAATTGTAAATGATATTATAGTAACCTCCTCACAAAAACCAAAGCAATAGCAAAATGAAGATGAAATTTATATAGTTATGAATTGGACTGCTCGTGCTCATTCACTGTTTTATTTTAGGCGTACTTCACAGCCTAAAATTGTCATTATAAGAAAGGCTAATAATCATGGTTTAAAAAATAGGGCCATTATTTCGCCTGAGGCAAGCTGATTTTACGAGTTGGCGAGCAGAAATTCACGATAGTCATTTATATTAGAGGACTTTGTTTTAGTTTTATCTTACTTCATCAATAAAGGCAAAACGTATAGTCCTGTGTCTAAAAAGAATACATAAAAGAGAACATTACAGAGATTCCTCTGTAATAGATGAACACTAAGACAAATACAAATCCACAAAATACATACGAGTATTTCGTACGTAAAGTGCACGCTATTGGAACTCCCATTTTCATTCTGGTCTGTATACGAATATATGAACATGCCTCTACCATGAAGATATTTTCATCTCACTCCTACCTCAGTGTGTGTGTGTGTGTGTGTGTGTGTGTGTCTTAAAAAAGTTAATTAGTTTCCTCCTCTTACACATTACAAATATAGACAGTCTGATTATAAGTTTTTGGTAATGCTTCTTGTCGTTGTTCTGACGCTACTCCATAATCAAAACATTTTTCAGCTTCTTGTGGCGACAGTCAGGTTTTCCAAAGCACAGAGCAGCGAGGTGACGGTCAACCTGACAACTTAATTAAGCCTGTGGACCACGTAAGACCATGATTCAGCAGACAGACCGACGTTTCGTTCTGCAGCGAAACATGCGTCCCAAATTCACGTTAATAGTCTCGCCCACTGCTCCTTTTATTGCGTCTTTCCACAAACTCGGAAAGCAAAACGAGCAGGGGACAAGACTCAAGCTGAAGAGGACATATCTGGCGTCCCTATTTACTGCCGTTCAATCTATTAATCTAAACCAGGGGTGAACAACCGTATTAATCCAGGAGTCCGGATTCCAATTGACCAAGGACCAAGAAAACTTTATATAGTTAAAATATGTATATACAAATATACTCTTATGGAATTGTTATAACAGGCTATACAAACACTTATAAGCATTATATAAGTGTTTATTATTAGTATCAGAAATAAGCAATATTATTATTTTAAAGAATTTGAGAAACTCGAAGTCGAAATGTATGTACTTTAACTAGGAAATCGCTTGAAACTGGTTTACGTTTAATGAAACTTAGTTTACGTAAGGATGAGCCGGGATAGCGTAGTCGGTCTAGTGACTGGCTACGGGCTGCGCGATCGAGTGGTCGGAGTTCGAGTCCTAGTAGGGTCAAGAATGTTATCTTCTCCAAATCGTCCAGACCGGCTCCGGGGTCAACACAAACTCCTATCCAATAGCTACAGGAGCACTTTCTCTGGGGATAAAGCGGCGGGAGCGTGAAGCTGATCACTCACCTCAAACTAGTGCCGAGATCAAGAAAAGTTGCATCTTACATCGACTCCTCCATATACCTTCATGGCGTAGTGCTTAATTACTTTACATCTAGTTTAAGTACCGTATTTACGCATGTATAGGCCGCACATTTTTTGCCAAAAATTCAAGAGGAAAACTGGGGTGCGGCTTATATTCGAAATATTCGAAATCACACTTCATTAAAAAAAATATATTCATAATTAGTAATACAGGGTGTAATACTCCTGAAATAATATTCCAAGAAAATTGTTTTTTTTTCTATAATTTCTGTCTGAAAATTGTGCTGCGGCCTATACACGCACGCGGCCTATACATGCGTAAATACGGTATAGTTCTATGGAATGCTCACCCCTTTAGTTTTCTTGAGAAGAGAACTGATTTAATATTGCTAAAATTGTTTGCTTACAGATGTATCACAGCCCTTACTCTCCGAAATTTAAGCCATTACTTTTAATGACACTTTTCTTTTTTCGCACAAATATGGAGGAAAAGACATGACATATTTCATTTTATTTCATAATTTATCTACTTTTTAATAACTTATTTATTTATTTAAATGTCCACAAGTTTGTTTGCTTATTCAGTCACACGGTTATATGTTTACATATTAATCTATAACCAACTTAATTTATGGAATAACTGAAAGCTGTTTACCTTTTTATGTTTGCTTATTGCAACATCATAACTCGAAGCGTCTGAGAGAAAGTGCAAATATTGTATTTGATCGAAGATTACTGACTTATGAAATGCGACACCGTGGTATGTGGCAGATATTTACCGATGTGTCGGAGGAACATTATACCTCCATCTTCAGGGTAGAATATTAAGCCGAACGTGGAAAAACTGGTAACATGTAAGGAGAGTGAGTACCGGGGGCCTGAGTGAATCTGCAGGGAAAAGGGGGCGGATGAATACACATGTTCATGTCACAAGGCGGGGGAGGCGAAGGCAAATAATAATTTATTATTATGGTCGCTTTCTGTTAATTAGGAAAGGTAAAAGGTAAGAGTAAAACTATTCCTGTAAAAGGTCGTGAACACCCATAGGCTTGTGAGACGTCGAGGCTCCCACATTTTCTCTAGACATCGACTCATAGATAGCGGTAAGGTTGTTAGCCTTATTCGCGAGCAGCACTTTAAGCCTCCCCCACGCCCCAAAAGAAGATTCCTGTTACTCGTACACTTCCAAAGAGTTCATCTATACTTAATTATTTAATTATGAGAAGATTATGTGCACAATGTCGCTTTCTCTGCCTAAAAAGGAAAATTATGATTTATACCATAATCACGATGGCATGGTACGGATTGGATTCATCGGGCTGAGGATAGGTAAAAGCGGCAGGTTTTGTAAACACAGTAGTAAATGGGTTCCATAAAATCTCATGAAATTCTTTAGGAGCTGAGACACTCTGGGTTTGTCGAGAAAGACCCGGCTACATGAATTTAGTTGTCATTTCAGAAAGGGGATTTCAGACCATAGTCGCAGTTTATTAAAGACCCTATGTTAAAGGCAAAATAAGGTAAGGTAAAGCTATCCCTGTAACAGGCCGTGGAGGTCCATAGGGCTGTGAGTAGCCTCTAGGCTCCCACATCTTCTAGACAATCGGCTCACAGATGGCGGTAAGGTTGTCAGCCTTTCGCGTCGGCCGGCCTTTATCCTCCAGTAAGAATCCAAATACTCATTTCTGTTAGAGGCTGAGTCGACCCCAGGGCTATAATGCTACTGGAAATATTAGGTCAATTGAAAAAATTCACCTCATCGGGAATTTAACCAACGACCTTCCGGCTCAACCAACTACGCTACCGCGTGCCCCGACCCTCTGTTAAAATATAGTGAAATTCAGTCTAGTTGCTTCTTCATTCAAGTGAAAAAATTGGAATCTCCACGTGAAGCTTAAATGTTCTCCAAAGCAGAAAGTAAACACTGTAAGTTGAGCATATTACTTCACGATCGGGAATCCCACTCCTCATTCTTCAGACCCAGTTAATCACGTAACAGCTGCTATTGGTTAAACCTATCACCATTGTTTCAGAACAAACCTCTGGCTCCCACATGAACTTCAGACTAGAGCTTGTACTATAAAGTGGGACATTAAGGATAAATGTAGTTCAATATTAATTACAGCAAATTTGGCTTCATAAAAACGGGGCGAAATGCAAACAAATGTTAAGTACATGTGCTCAGATGACAACAGTGACGGAACTTTCATTACACTCTCTTGTATTGTACATCTTCACGTAATAATACAAGTAGTTACAACAAAATAAACGCATTCATTTTAAAGGTAACACATTCTAGTCACAATATTTTGCCTGATGCTTCGTTATTAACTAAAAAACGCAATTTTTAATCAATTGAGAATTATTAATAGAATACAGTCATCTTCAAATAAACGCCTTTTTAAATATAAAATAATTTTGTAATTCCCTAAGAGCAGTCCGATAACTTAACAATTTCCTCTCCGTTTTCTGCCTTCTCCAATGGTCCCCAAATTATTCTTCATGCGCTGTTCTCAACGAACGAACTTACTTCTCTGCTATTTTTGTCGAGAATATTATTTATATAACTTTAGAGGTTTACACGGCTGTTTATTCACATTATGAGAGCTGAATATAAATATTCTGAAAGAATATACGACTCTGAAGATGGAAATTCCTCAAAACACTGTATCCACCTATAATGAAAGAAGATATCGTAAAACGAAAGACCACAGTGCGATGTAATTTCTTTCTTCTATAATTCTGAAGACATTACAACAAACAACAAATTCATTTGACCAGAAAATTTTAAATATTTAAGGAGAAAATTTATTTTAAATTTATGGTTTCTTCCTCTCGTATTTATGAGAAAATTAACATTGATATTATCTCTATATTAAGGGGGCAGGATACATTTTCCAATTAAAGCTAATTTTCTCTTAATTCAGGTTCAATTTTAAAGAGGTTTCACTGAATTTCATTTCAGATTACTGCACAACTGTACCGAGCCGACCCGAACATATCGCGGGGACTGCGAGGCGATTGCAGTGCAGGCACGATGACCGCGCACATTCCTGCACGGTGTTCGGAAGAGGAGATCCACACTGGCCGGCCCCTCATCTCAAGTGACGCAAACACCAAATTATTTCTTTTTTAATACTGGAGAACATATCAGGATCTGACAAGATACTAATCCGGGGAAAAATCATATAAACAATAACAACAAAAAATGATGACTTCGATTACTATAAAAAGTGGCAAATTGTTAGGCCTATACATAGAAACACACATGTACACGTGTTCAGATTAACGGAGGACAATCAGACTTCAAGATGTAATGGTCAGAATTCGTGTTTCCCATTCTATAAATTACAGTTTACATCTGGTTCCTATTATCAGCTAAATTGATTGATGTCTCTTCAGTCTCTCCCTCTACGTGCATATCCTTGCTTGTCACTCCCTCCCATGCACACAATATTAGTAGTTTTCATGGGATGGACGGCCGAGTTTCGAATCCCGGCGGGGGAAAGATTTCTTTCTTCTCCACAATGTCCAGACCGGCTCTGGGGCCGACCAGGCCTCATGTTCAATGGATACCGGGGCCGATTTCCCCAGGTGTAAAGCTACCGGGGCGTGAAGCTCATCACTCTCCCCTATCTAGTGGCGACGTCTAGAATGTTGGGGTTGCACCTCCACAACCTGGCACGTCTTCATGACGTATTACTTAATTAATCAAACACAGAGACATTTTCACTTCTCTGCCATTACAGTTGGGGCACGCGGTAGCGTAGTTGGTTGAGACACTATGTTTCAAGAAGGAAGGTCGCGGGTTCAGGTCCCGATGAAGTGCATATTTTTCAATTGACCTATTCCTTCCAGCCGCACTATGACCCTGGGATCGACTCAGCTTCTAACAGAAATGAGTACCAGGAACCTTCCTGGGGGGTAAAGGGCGGCCGACGCGTAAGACTGACAACCTTACCGCCATCTGTGAGCCGATTGTCTAGATAATGTGGGAGCCTCAACGTCTCACAACCCTAGGGGCCTCCAAGGCCATTTACAGGGATTCCTTTACATTTTTACCATTAAATTTAGTGTGTTGCTTCGTTTTGCCTCCCTCTGCAGCTCTCCCTCCTGTCGGCCATCTCATCCAACGCCTCCACCAGCCCCGCTTTTAGACGGCAATTTTGCCGAACCAAGACTGTCCGTTTAAACGATGTTCTTGGGACATTATCTGAACACGATCTCCACATTAGGAAGTGTCTGAACTTGAGAGTGCCTTCCAGTGTGTATCCATCTTACTGTTTGCTTTGTTGTGTCACGTTCATCTTGGCACGGAAATTGGGTATTGACCGCACCATCACTTGTAGAGTGTCACAAGTGGGCGGGGAGGAGGTGCTGACCAAATGATGGATGGCCGCCGCTGTTACGAGGACGTGCTTCCACCACAGGCAGAGCGTTCAAGGAAGCGAAAGTGACATAACCTCATTCAGATCAAGAATTGCATAATGAGGAACTGTACAATTCACATTCGTCATAACCATGTACCCAAGTTCCAGGAGAGCCGGATGGGAAGGACATGTAGTACACACGGAAAAGATGAAAAATACAAAGAACATTTTATCTGAGATACATGAAGGGAAGGCGCTACTTGAGAGAAATATACGTAGACTTAAGTATAATAGGCTATTAAAATGACTGTTAAAGGAATAACTGTATAAAGAGGAGCTTCATACCTTTTATTTTTCCACACCTATCACTCCCACTTTGGAACACAGAGCTGATGTTTCAGTTTCGTGATCGTTTTTACAGACGGTAGGACTCCTTAGACGGGTGATCAGCTCATCGCAAGGCCTCTACCTAAACACAGGACAACACAAACACAGAATAAACGCATACACACACCAAATATCCATGCCTTGTGTGGGCATGGCCTCGCTCTGCCTCCGAGCAAGCGAAGACAGTACATGCCTTAGACCGCTCAGCTACCGTGACCGGCAGTGTATAAGAATAATATATAAGAATTCAGTTCATACCTCGCAGGAAACAGATTCGAACCCACGATCCCGGCTTCCCAGAGAGCGAAGACAGTACATTCCTTGGACCGCTCGGCTACCGTAACCAGCAGTGTATAAGAATAATATATAAGAATTCAGTTCGTACCTCACAGGAAACAGATCCGAACCCACGATCCCGGCTTCCGAGCGAGCGAAGACAGTGCATGCCTTAGACCGCTCGGCTACCGTGATCGGCTTCATAACTTTACTCTTGCCAAATATACTTAGAACGATCAAATCAAGGAATGTAAAATAGGCAGGGCATGGGTAGTAAAAAGAGTAAGGTTGGTCTTGAGCTTAAGTAATTAAGCCTTATTCCATGAAGACGTATGGGGGAGTGGTTGTATAGATCCACGTACTCTTGACCTCGGCACTAGTTGGAGGTGAGAGTTGAGCTTCAAGTCTCGGCCTCTTTACCTCCGGGGAAAAAATCCCCAGGCTGTGTGGGCCCCAGAACCGGACTGGACGACGTGGAGATGGGGAAAAAGTGACCCTACTGAGACTAGGATAATATTAAAGTGGATTAATTTGATTTATTTCATTCTGGCCCGTCACACTATTAAGTTTACAATTAAGTGTATTTCAGTTCAATGTGACATATAATGCCTTCACCACTTCAGGATATAGCAGTATAATGCTTTTTGAAATTTTAATGTTAGTAATATGTTGGTAATGCAGCATTTAAATTTCCCCATAGTTACTTTCACTTCAGAAACACAAATTCCTATTCTGCATTCTCGCAGTTAAGTTCCTTATTATCCTTCCATACATGCATAAGTTTTGTATGCATTACATTTATTTTTGTCTTTAAGCAATTTTCGTTACCACAGCAACGAATTTTCGAGCGTTGACAGCTTTCATGAACATAAGTTACGTAATAAATCATGAATGAGCAAGAAGTATATTGTTACATTTCATCGCATCTATTTTGTGAGTATTAATAATATTGTGACGTGTATATTCATTGCTAAACAACCACTCGGTAAACACACCCTCACGGAAGCAAACGCGGGCGACATAATACGCCCATTGCTAGCAGCTGATCAGTGAACTTTCCTTCTTAACAATAGAAACAGTGTATTCCGCGTGGTCCGTACAGAGTGGTTATAAAGAAGTTTTCGGCGGTATAGAACATAGTCGAGTCGAGAATAAGGTCGAGTTCGAGACGCCAGCCTACCGGGATATGAACTTGAAATTGAATTTAGTTGGCAGTTCCAGAATATCGGCAAGAAGGGAGCTAGGCCATGAAAATAAGACTTAATATGTGATATGAAGTGACTGTGAGATGGTTATAAACCCGTTACCAGGATACGACTAGTAAAGACTGTGAATCCTAGTGCGTGTGCAACGATGAACTGTGCAGATCAGCGAGAGCGCTGTACTACTTGTAGTCTCGAGGTGCGAATGTGAAAGGTCCAATAAATCCAATCCAAACCTCGTCTATAGTCACAAATACACGTGACAACATTTTGATGTGAATATATGAAGTGAAGTATCCGTACGCTGTATAAAGGGGACGGTTTAGTATTGTATGTGCTATTCGTGGGAGGTTGCGTTAGACGTCGGTTATCAGTTAGTAACATACAGACCTAGAAAGGAAAAAGAAAGAGCAAGGGGAGTTAATAGTACAAAACTGTGTATAATAAATGATAAGCCTTTCCATTGATTTATCAACGGACGCTATGCTGGGGCTTTTATTACTATTGATTCTCCTTAAAGCGGGCAACATGTTGTTGAGGGCTTAAAGATGGAGTATGTTTTTGTGTTTCATTGAAATATTTAGAGAACGTCCCACGTATTTTGTTGAAATGAATAGCAAGAATGCTCTTCTTTTGCACCAGAAGATTTAACTCAACAATATCAAGTCTGCAAGAGAAATATCCCTTTAACGAAAATCTTCTGACTTTTGAGCAGGGAATTAGAGTTCGGAAACTCTTAAATTCCAATATGTGGGCTTTTTAAATATTTTGTAATTGTTTCTCCAATCTGATAAACATTTTGACGTGATTTTTAAGCGCTGTGTTTCCAGCATAAATATTCTTACTTTTCAAGATATATGTACAGAAAACAAAAGATGCACATACCCGCAGATATTTTACGCATAAACTTTCATCTGCTACAAATATCCATGGAGCATATTTCTATGGCTAAAAATTAAACGTATAAATGCCCGTTCTCACGACTTCTTCCTGTCGACTCTCACTACTGGCGTCAAGTGAGCACCGACTCCTACACTGCCTCCCGCGTCTAGTGGCCCAGAACCCATAACTTAAAGATGGAGGCAGTATGAACCCCCCAAACGCCGTCAGCATTACCCACAGCCACAAGGCGTAAGGGCCGAAGAGCAGAATCAGTAGAACAAATTAAATCTCTTATAAATTCCTGGCATACATTTGGCTTCAGTAAAGTAAAGGCTAGTTCTTTTCTTTATTACAATTCCTGTAACACTAGAAACAAAATTCTATGGTACCCCCTTATTTGTTTTTCTCCGTACAATCTGCGACACATGTGTTAGTATGGTCGGCCCACGTTGTGGCTGCATGTCCTTGCGTAATGCAAGCATCTGTACTCCCCTTCTAGATTTTATACAAACACTCCACACTCTGTCATCATTGTGACTCCAGGGGCTACAGCGAGCGAAATGAAGTTATGAATTTTTAAGTTGTACCTCCCCCGCCTGTTCAACAATGAAGAGTTGCTGGGAAGCTGGAGAACAGAATTTCCTTTTTGCGAGAGAGTGAGAGAGAGAGGCGAAGGTGAAGAGTAGGAGGAGGAAACGGAAAACAAACTTTACACATTCGCCATCTTCCTCACTCTCTCTTCGTTTGAAGCAAGTTTGTCGTTAGAATGGGTGCACAACTGAGGCTGTGTTTGCTTTCTGGTATGTATATGGGGACCCATGTGACCCTTGGAGTGTTTAAAATTAATAGAAGAGTGAGATGGATAACCGAAGCACGTCATAGAAGGGAACAACGATATTTCTGTCTGGTGTTGCAGAATTGGAAGAACCTTCCTCTGCGTGATATTTAGCACCGAAATTTGTAGTAGTGATATATGAGTTATCGATTAGTATACACAAGGGGCTTGAGATCTTTTGAGGAAAGATTTTCGGAGGAACGTATTCCCTCCATCTTCAGGGTAGAAGAAAAAAAAAAGGAAATCCGCGAGGGAGAACCAGCACCCACTCACGCTGGTTCCTCCCTCGCGGATTTCCTTTTTTTTCTTCTACCCTGAAGATGGAGGGAATACGTTCCTCCGAAAATCTTTTAGCACAATATCTACACGACGCCACATCCCAGAAGACTGCTTTCTCCAAACTGTATGCGTTCCTCCGAA